CTGTATTCCCCCTGCAGGTGTCATGATGTTAAACAGACATGAGAGAGGAAGCTATTGGCCCAGAAAGACTAACACCTTCTGCAGAGTACACGTTTCTTTCTTCTCATTGATGACACAGCCTGCTTTCGTTTATCTATAAAAGTAAGAAAGACATCTAAAGAGGGAACATGAATTGAACCGTCTAACTATTTGGGAAACCTGTGGAGTAAGTGTTATCAGGCCAGAACAACGTCTAACATAATGCACTCAACCACAGCTAATCTTGATGCATCTCAACAGACCAAATTCAAGTAAACTGGAGGGAGTCACACTTTTAAAGCCTGCAGCAGGATGGAGAAATAACTTGACATTATATTTTTTATTTATTTCAGATTCACAGCAAAATCTCTCTGATAGTCCAACATTTAAAAAACCTAAAATATCTGCCAAGAAGGTGTCCAGTGAAAAGCCGGCCTTTCTTCCTCCAGTCAGAATTGCACGTTGAGCGCCAAACTGCTACCTACCCATGTCCGTCTCAAATGTGACATGTTACCACGGCAACAGGACTGTGTAACAAAATAACCACGGGAGTTAAGAGAAAGCTGCAATCTCGCCGAGAGCCGGGCACAAGTCGATGGCTGCAGACACCAAGTGCTCTCACAGGGCAAAAGAAAGCTGACAATAGAGAGCTTTCATGCTGCTTTCCCTGAACATACAGAATGTACAGTATGTAATGCAGCCTGAAGGATCAAAGTATGTTCTATGTCTTTATCTGGCAGCCCGTCTGATATCTTTCCCTTAATGCTTAGAATAAGGAAATGGCAATAACTCTCTACAACAGCTGGTTCAACGCTAAACACCTCTGACATGTCTGTGAGAGACGAGACATGCAACATCTGTATTGTGTTTCATCCACCGATCACCATTTGGCTTTTTACCTTATGGCTGAGATGATGTCGTAAAACGCACCGAGTGCTAACACTTAATCCTCCAGTATGAGATTGACACACGTGCCAACATCTGCGCATGCATGTAAGCTTTAAATACAGCCTCAGCTGAGAGGGTTCACTCTTTGTGACTTCAAACGTCTAATTCTCTTTAAACTGAAAATTAACTGCAGCGATAATGACAATGACAACAAGAGCAATAGGCAGGTGTTGAAAGGATGTTGGGGAGCAGAGCGGAGGGCCTGTATCATTAGGGATTAACCTAGCCACAGGCTCTACAAATAGACTGTCTCCACCTATAAGCTGCCAGCACACACAGACAGTTATTTGTACTGCCAGGTAGCTGCTGCAGCTCCGCAGAACAGAGAAGACAGTTCAAAGAGGCTGAGGCGGATCGGGACGCCCACCAAACAGAAAGCGATGCAACAGGATACATTTAGGGTCTGGTAACATCAGAGGCATTCACAAACAGCTTTCATCTAAGGTGACTGCATACAGATCGATGCACCAATTTGGGGTATAATCTATAATACAAAGCCTAGGCCAACCGTGAACAAACGTGAAGCAAAAAGTAATGTTTCAAGGACGAATACTACAAATGTTTAGCCTCTCAGTTGCAAATATGTGCTGCTTTTTTTAGTTTACTGAATATATTTGGAATTTTAAATATGAGTCAGATAAAATAAGCGATTTGAAGACGCCACTTTTGGTTTCAGGTAACTCTGGGTATTTTTTCTTTTTTTTACCAAAGGACTATGTTTTTGGAATATCTTGATTAATTGATAAGTTTGCCATTAACCAACACTCTGAAGGACGAACATTTCTTTGACTGAAATCAAACAAATAAAGCGGTCACATGCTAGGCCAAACCATCAGATGAATCAAGCTTTTGATTATCAATTTATTATATTTTTCACCTAAAAAATCTAATTCTCAGGAGAGGTTCGTCCATACTCACCCACAGAGGTCTGGGCATCATTGAATGAAACAAAATGTATTTGACAAGATGACAAACGTCAGAGGGTTTGTTCATGCATGTACCTGTTGCAAACGAGTACAAAATAAAGATGAAATAAAAAACACTTATTGTTTGGTTGTGTTAAAAGTATAATTGGTTTCCTGTGAACTGTCTGAGCCATGTCCCCTGCTATGTCACACCTTAACGTGTGCGGACTGTGCTTTGAAAATGCAAGATGCCCTACGCCATTAATACTTAAAAACATCATTAAATGTGCTCATAGTCAGGGAAGAGCATCAAGGAGTCACTGCTGGTTTGTGGGATAATACCATGGATGTACAATAAGAACTGGATACAGCGTGGGAGGCGGGGCCTCGTTCATTCCTATGAGAGTTGCTCATTGGCGCATGAAGACAAAATGGCCCAACTTTTGCGAGAGTGAAACGTCACGAAAGTATTCATATAAACATATAATCTGTTCTTATTGTGCATCCATGGGTAAAGGTAAAACTCATGTAGTACGGAACACGTCACATGAACGTGCCGGGCGGCGCGGTCCTGTGGGTTAGATGCGTGTTCATAATGCAGAGGAAAATAACTCTCAGAATAACGTTATTAGCACATTTTACAACTTGAGGAGCCAATGTTTTTAATAAGGGCTATACAAATGTTCATACTGGGTAGTTTATTTAGTTTAAAAAATATTATCCAACGATTTACAGACGTCTCTTTCCCAATGTTAGTCAATGGGAAAAAGTGTTTCCGGGCCCAGCGACTGATACGGAGGTGTAGTACTGCCGTTTGACCACAACGAATATTTTCCTCCGAGTCCGGCGTACTTCCTGGCGGCTTGGATAATACTAGCACATTATTTGAGAACCTGGACGATAAAATAATACTACCAATGATACAAAAAATTACCCAGAGTACTTTTGGTTTAAAACTAATGATACCGACATAAGTGGCCATCACTTTATAATCTATGTTCACAAACTTGTAATATTCTCTTGGAAATTAGACACCATTGAAGATAATACCATATGGTAAGTGCACAGGGTTGAAGTCTCTGAGCATTTTGGTTTTGTAAAAACAAATGTAACAGAAAAGGTTTAGCAGCTTCTCATATTTGACAGTTTCGTATTATTCTTTCCTCAAGAGTTATTTCGACATCAGGTTAGAAATATTTCTACCTACAACCAAGAAAAATATATTTTCAGAGGGGGGATTTTGACAGAAATGTTGTAAGTAACTGACTCTTGTTATGAAACTTAAAGACAGCAAGAAAGAGCCAAATCAATCAACAGTGAATCACAACTGAAGGGAACCTCACTTGTTTTTAAACAAAGACTTCAGGCCAGCTGTTGATGTTATCTGTCTACAGTGGTTGTATACAGTTGGGTGAATTAAAAAATCTGCATCTTTAAAAGCTTCCTCAGTAGCTATCATTACTGCATCACAGCGCTAGGTTAAAATTCATGGAGGATGAAAGTGTCCGGCCTTAAGCAAGACACCGATTCTTCTGATTATTCTAAAGAGCATAGCCACAAAAACCCCTCCATCCTCTGAGCTGAAATCATCATGAAATAACTTTGGTAATGAATAAGCTGTTTAAAATCCCCACGTTTACTTGGGGTTTTGTCAGACAAAATTAGTCAGAGTAGATTTGTGGGCATGTCACTTTTATCTGACATAAAGATATGGAACATTTGTGTCTGTTGACAGCAGCCCCAAGTGTTCATTTTACATTAAGAAAATGAAAAAGCAAGCAAATGTAGAAGTTTAAGAAGCCTTCTACATAGAGAATATCATTTAGTTAAATCAACGAAAGCCTTTAGTAGGACCACATCTGGCTGTTCAAAGCAGACGAGGCTTCATTACAGTGTGCAGACAAACAGTAGCTGGCACAAAGGAGCACATATAGATCCACAGGGCCAGGCAGTGGAAACACAGCGGGGGAAAGTCTAAAAATAGCTCAAGACTGTGATCAATAACTGCTAGATATGTTCCAACTCTGCTTCATAAGGCTAAATTAAAACAGTGTTAAAGTGCTGCTACAGAGACAACAGAATCATGTTAAAGGCAGGGTGCATCAGCGATGAATATTCAGTGGTGCAAAGTTATTAAATACAAGTTTATACAACATGACAAGTATTGCATTTTAATATAATTGAGGTACTTGTACTGTACTCCGGTATTTCAATAATATGCAAGTTTATATTATTGCTTCACAACATTCTGGAATAAAATATTGTAGTTTTTACACCACTGTTTATTCACTACCATGTATTCACTTTATTTGAAACATAATACAAGTATTTTAACACAAGCAAGGGGCTGAGGTATATATGTGTACTTATTTAGCTTGTATCCAAATATTTGCACCAATTTATTGTTTTACCTTTTTCTCGGGAGGATAAACAAATATTGACTTTTACCAAATATTTGTACCATTTTATTGTTTTACCTTTTCTCCCACAGTAAAGTTTTCCAATAATGTATTTCTATTTGACTTATTATTGTTGAAAAATAAATGAAAACACTGTTTAAAGAGGACAAAGAGTAAGAGAGTAAAAGTAAAGGACTTCTCTCCCCCCTGAGTGTCCTCTGTATAACGGTGCGTGGGCCACCGTTATACAAAGTATATTAATTGTATCAACAGATAAAGTGAGCGCAGGTGTGAACGAGCAGACCAGGTGACGTTACTGCAGCTGCATACAGTCTACCTCTGTCTTTCTAAACTTTATAACCATGCACATCCCAAGTGAGCAGTATCCGTCCATGTGTGCATGCTTTAAAACACCAAGCCGCTGTCACATTCAAACACAGTCTGCACACTATCAGCGGGACAAAATGCTCTGCAGCTCAGGACTTTCCCTCTCAAATATATAACCCAAACACCGGACAGAGGCGGGGATGCTGCCCGGAGGTGAGTGCCTGTCTCCGGGGTTAAAGAGCACACAGAGGATTTTTTAAAGTGAAAGCCGCTCAGCCAGCCGCTGCTCAGAAAACGGTTCTCACCAGCGAGAGTCAATATCAACATAAACATGCTCGTCGATACAAGAAAGTTGCTCCTGCATTTGAGCGCTAAGAAATACAATATGACAACATTTGATTACCTTAATGCTAAAAATGACTGTCGGGCGTTAGGACTTGACAACCAAGCGCTTAGTAACCGAGTAAAATTACAACGATTTCAGGCTGCGCCTTACCTTCAGTTCCGCACTCTCCGCCATCTTGTATTTTCTTTGCGCATGCGTGGTTAGCTGCTGTCACATGACTGGGACGCGCTGAGCTCCTGCGTGAACGCGCACACAGAGACAGGGGTGCGTTCAGGTACTCACAAAATGGGTGGGAAAAACAGCGGCAGAATCTTAGCTTTAAATTATCTTAATTGTTTATTTTGGCTTCTTAAGTCTTAGTATATTTTTTGTTTAGCGTAATCAGATATAATAATGCTTTACAGTGTTCTTTTAACACATATTAACTCATTGGCCATTAGCCAATACATATTTATTTGACATATGTATTTATTAACAACAGAGTATTTGATTTAAATTCCGTTTTTAGCTCATTTATTCTTTTTTACATGTGTATAGTTTACTTCTTACTTCTACTCATTTACCTGCACTATTTAATTTCAATACTATTTCTTTTTTGCACTATTTGTATTGTTTTATGTCTTATATGTATTTATGTTGCACTGTTGGAGGAGCCTGCGATTTAAAATGTTCCTTGCCATAACTATGCACTGTAGCTACTGCGCATATGACAATAAAACCTTTGAATCTTTGAACGCTGACCTGAGGGCCAGGAAATCCTGCTGCTCTGTGGGTTACATCATTCTTTAATAAAAACAATTTGAATATATTCGTTTATCCAGCCTGTAGTTTAGCTACTGGCACTCTGAATTCATTATTGTCTTAAAGAATAGAATAAGTCCAACACAACTCTTTTTTTAAATTCGAATAGAAAAATCATATATATACATAACGTACATAAATAAAGCATTTGCCTTGGGCTTGTTTTTAAAAATGTACTCAATTGTGCTGCTCGAAGCCACAGAAAATTTAAAAAACAATGAAAACATTTGAAGACGTTTCACAGCAACTTCCCCTTCAGTTTTCAGTGGAACTACTGTAGAAGTAGTCCATATGCCCATAATCTGAACAAATAATTTAATAAATAGCATATTTTCTTCAGTCTCCACAAACAAAATCCCACCCACCTCCATTGGGTTGAGCTGAAAACATGGAAAAATATACCCAAAGCTATCTGATTGGCTGAATCCTTTCAAATATTAGTTTTCTCTTTTGTAATGGTTAACTGCCCCTTCAATAGACCTGTCAATCCACATTCCTTTCTCTTTCTTATATACAAAATGTAAACTACCCTGTTTCACCAGAAAAGCTACATTTCAAAGTCTAGACATAATCCTCCTGTTTCACTAGAGCATTTCAATCAAAGGGAAGTAATGGCAAGTTTGACAATCATTATGTTCTTAACGCAGACATCACAACGATAGAAAGGCAATAGATATATTATTATATATTATTAATGAAAAAACTACATTTTGAATCCTGTATATATTTGTATCTTTAGATTTGATATAGATATCCCAATAATGTCCAATACTTATTTCGGCCAAAATAAGAGTGTAAGGAAAATCTGATATTGTGGCAACTCTTAACTTAAGGTACGTTTCATTTCAAATGTAAAACATTTGAATAACAAAATGTAAAAGAAGAGATGCATCTAATGTTGGACCTGCAGCCATTTTTAACCGTTGTGAGGAAATATTCTGATGTTGGGCAATTTTTTTAGGCGTCTAAAATATATATTCTGTCAGGTTAGCAAACAAAACAAATGAGTTTTCTGAAAAATATCTTAATTGTGTAGAAGAATGACAAAGAGCTTCAAACTCCAGATTCAGGAGTCACTAAACCCACTGAAGTGACTCTGACCTTTGACCCTCCTGTAGATCAATGTCATGTCATTTAATATTAGCTGACTCTGCTGTACTCTTAGCTTTTTGTGTATTTGTATTATTGTGTATAGTTTAATCATTAAAATGTATAAGGTGTTTAATCTGAGTGAGTGAGTCTATAATACTTAATTGTGACTCAGATTTCTAATTAGACTAACAAGCCCAACCTTGCCTTTATTATTTTTACATCCTTGTCATAAATAAGTAAGCCGTAAAGCAAACAGGGGCCCTGCAGAATTATTTGTATTATTTGACAATCTTTTGTCAAACCACAATTAATTATTCAATATTTCCTCTACAGTCTCTAGAAAATAATGAATAATTGAACCTTTAAATAAATAAAAAACATACATTTTTGGAAGAAAATGTAAAGGCATTGTTTGTATGTTGTTGGGCAAGGTGAGGCAAGGCAAGTTTATTTATAGTACCTTTCAACACAAGGCAATTCAAAGTGCTTTACAAAAACGAAAGATATTAAGAAAATGGCATTTAAAAACATTCATTAAAAAGCTAAGATAATAAAATAGTCATTAAAAGAAAAATACATGAATAAAAGTTAGAGTGCAGTTTGAGATATTAAAATTAAAAGCAATGGCAAAAAAAAAGGTCTTCAGCCTGGATTTAAAAGTAGTAAGAGTTGCAGCGGACCTGCAGGTTTCTGGGAGTTTGTTCTAGATATTTGGAGCATAATAACTGAACGCTGCTTCTCCATGTTTAGTTCTGACTCTGTTCTGACAGAAAGCTGACCAGTCCCTGAAGACCTGAGAGATCTGGATGGTTAATTATTTAGCAGGAGGTAAGAAACTTATGTTGGGCCTAAACCCAACTGCAAAGACACCATTAGAGTCTAGTCGATTCTACTGAAGATAAAAGCATGGACAAGTTTTCCAAATCCTGCGGGAGAGTTGTGGTGAGATGTGTCTCCAGAACTTACTTTTCTAAAAGTATGACGAGACAATTGTCATATAGGCAAGGCAAGGCAAGGGGATAGGGGATTTAATTTAACAGCACTGCCTTCTCTATCAGCTTTTAGTACATTCAGAAAAAAAGGCTAAGAAAAAAACAACACAGTGGCTCAATAAACTCAGAGCAAGGGAAAGCCAGCAGATGGCGCCCTCTCATTTCAAATAAAGATGAAACAATAATGACGTGAAGTGAGCTCTCAGGTCCTGCTCAGTGTATTATCAGCCTGCGAATTATATTTGTTCCTAAGCATTGACATCTTTACATCTTTACTTAGTGTAATGTTTTTTTATACAGAATTCGCCATCACATCAAACACATTAGGCTTCAGGCCCAAATCTATTATCAGATATTGCTTATTTCCTCTGGTATACAAAATATAATCTTTTGACAAACTAGTAACTAGAATCACAGAGGTTTTATTATTTCAGCATGCATCGCTGCCATCTGCTGCTTTGTTGCTGGCCAGTGATGGGACAGGTGTCTGCTCAGTTCACATGTTTATACAAGCAAATGACTGATGATGAGTGCACAATGCAAATACTGAGACACAATACGACCAGCAGCAGGATAAAACATGATTCTTCTTTTAAAATGTTTGATATTACAGTGAATGGATTTAATGTGGGCTTGTGTAAATGCACTCACTGTGCTGAATCAGGACAGCTCAAATCCACAATGTGTAAACAAAAGCAGGGTTGAAGGATACGGATAAAATACTAAATTGCAGCACTGTTTGTGTAATTTTTTTATTGCAATATATAAAAACCTGTGTCATGATATAGAAAATGAATTCAGAAATTCTTGAAGGATATAATATACAACATATTAATTGTTTTTATAACTTGATAATCCCAGTAGTGAACTATTCTTCTCAGATTAAATGCACTTGTTCTTTTTCATATTCTCTATGTATTTATAACACAAAATGTGATGTATTGAAAGAAAGATTCATAGTACATTTTATCTTACTGCTAAAGTTACAAGCCTCTTCTCTCAGATTATGGTTCTATGTTTAAAAATATGACCAGTTTATTGTTTTTTTTACTAGATTAAATTAAACAAACAACATAAAACATGTAAACAAATCAGTTGCATCTCTGCCAGCTACAAGATTATATACAGTATATATATATATATACCATTTCTAGTTCATTGTTGGGTTTGGCAATAAATGCCATAATAAATGTTCCAATGTATTTTGGTTTAGATAAACTGCTATTGTAGGTACGTACATGCACCATGAAGCACTGTGGGAACATGGGGCACATTTTGAATGAGCGCCCTAAATCCTATTTTAAATTATAAAGTTGCACAATTATAAAATGATCATGAAATAATGAATGATGCAGTCAGTTACTTTTAAGGCTTTCTGCCCCCTTAGTGTCCAATTTATAAAAATCCTGAAATCCACTGAAATATTTTGCTCATGTATTGTATTGTATGTAAATCTACCAGGCTGGCCCAGGGGGGCAAGGGGCTTTTGAAACCACAAAGAGACAAACAACAACTAAAAGAGACGCAAATCCACCAGATTAATATGCAAAAGAGCACAAAGAGACGAGTCATTTTCACACAAAAAGGGAAAATGACACGGATACAAAATGACCAAATAAAGATGCACTGCGGCTATCGAAGAACCACCCAGATGAGGTGCAGAACAAACATAAAGATACACACAATTATGCAGAGAGACTCAAAAGATGCACAAAACCATTTAAAGAGTTGTAAAGATAAACAAAACGGACCACCAAAAGATGAAGACAACAAAATAGGTGACAACAAGAAAAAGGAGATAAAAAAACGAACACAATAAGAAGCAACAAAGACCAAATATAAATAACCACCACAAAGAGACTCATAACCACACTCGGCGGTGTTATTTGGGGCATTTTGGGTCTCTGTGATTGTTTTTCTTGTCTATGAGGATTGGTGGGGCTGGGGGACACTTTGACATGTGTGTGCCCAGGGACCTATTGTCATATGATCCCTCCATGCTTGTCCACACATATAATGTTAAAGAGCTAAATGAAAACCCATTAAAGCAGCCAATCATTCCCACAGCAGTTCAGTGTTGTTCATCTTCAGAGGCCTTGTTAGTATTCACAGGGAAGCAGTTCTGCCACGGAGGGCAATTACGTTCACAGAAAATTAACATTCATCGTGTGCCAGTGACATTATGTGAGTATCTCTCTCAGAAGGAAGCATCCAGGGACCGAGAGCCGTGTAATCAATATCTATTAGTGCTCCCATCAGAAGAATTAGATTTCACTATTAGATCAGCCTGCTCCCCTGACTCCACGTCAAACTTCATAAGTCGACTGGACATGTCAGGCACTGATGTAGCCGCCTAATGAAAGAGATCATGTTGAACTCAAATACAATAAGAGGAAATATGATCAGCTCGTGATGTCCTTCTGTACGGAGGCCAGCAGGTGTCAGCCTCACACCAGCAAAGACACACACAAATAAGTGAGGATAAAAGCAGACTTTGGTATTCATATTTTATTAATATTGACATGGGTACATACATTAATGGGAAAATTATTGGTAGATTGTGTCAGAAACAACAAATGAGAGAAAATGAAATGCAGCCACCTGAATGGCAGATTACACACAAGTCTTAAAGTGTCTTCTTCGTATAAAAACACCATCAGATGAGAAGAAAAGCTTTTGGTTTCGTCTGTTGTGACTCAAAGATTCATTTAATGATAGAAAAACCCTGAAACAGAGAAAATTATATGATCAAATTTGTGTTAAAATACTCAGTCTAAACTGTACATGTTATTTATAAGTGGCTCGACTGTTTTTTAATTATCACTTGTAATGTAACTTGAAAGCTTATATCTTCAAAGTTTGTGTCACATTTTTTTTTTTTTATGTCAAACCTGAATGCTATTGAAGTAAGTGCTCTTAATAAGTTACTATATTTGAAACCTAAGGAATCCTCGTGTTTTAGATAAAAAGAATTTGGTATAGGACGACATGGTCAAATTCAGAAATGTTGTCCTTTTTAAAGTGCTTAACAACATATGCAGTGTTGCAAATAAATAATAATAAATTAAACCAAAGAACAATAAACAACACATATTATGTAAAAACTCAAGACATTCAAAAAGCAACAAAAGCTAAATAATGAGATACATTTCGAACTTAATATCACAATTATACGAGCCATTGCACATCGTCACGTGATATATATATTTATATGTATATAGTGTTGTTTTTTCTTTCCAGAGAGGCTAATCAGCAGACGACTTTGATTCGAAGAGACTCCTTGGTTTGAGCTTTGCAGTGTCAGATCAACAATCCTTTGACTCATAGCACAAAATGAACTCCATTTTAAGATCTCCTTTACTCCAGAGTTCAGTTTTTTAGAGAGGTCGCAGCCAGTCCCTTCTCTGAGTCTTCGCTCAAGTGCTAACATCAGAGGTGCATCTATACAGCAGGTTGGTAATCCTTGGGTTACGGTTGTGAAGTGAACACATGACAGCTCTCGAGAAGAACACGTGTTTATTTATTTTTTGGCTGTGCTGGGGTCAGTTGCAGGGTGGTGCCGGGCTCTAGGGAGGCAGCAGCGGAGGTTTGAAGGTGCAGGCTCCGGTACACTGCCGGGGGGTGAGCATCTTGCAGGAGAAATGGTGAAGGGCGTCGTGAGCTTCTGGGGAGGAACAAGTCCATCAGTTAGAACAGCAGACAAACACACTGATAATTCTTCAATGTACAGATTAAAACGGTACTAACGTGCACTTTTAAACAGTCTCTACGGGTCAGGAAGAGATCTGTGCTCTGACATCATTCCAATGTAATTGATGGACATACAAATCCAAAACCCTTGCTCTGTGTTAATGTACTTTTTAGGTTGAGTCTAAGTTTATTGGAGACTGCAGCAGTTTGAGATCAATCCCAGCCCCAGCAGCTAACATTTCAATACATCATGTGCACACTGTCATGGCCAACGGTGTGTGAATGTGTGTGAATTGTAGCTTCCTTGAGCAGGCATGAATGAGTGTGAAAGGATGAATGAGGACTTATGGAATGCTTTGAGGGTAAAGCGCTATTTTAATTCACCATATTAACTTGGAATCTTCCATAAAATGTCCCCTGTTTGATTTCATTAGCCAGGTGTTGTGTACATTTCAATCACATTTTAGGAAATTGGAAGCATGATATATGAATGTATGTAAATATTAGGAGTTCGTTCATCAGAGATAAACAGCTGGTGATGCTAATTTCAGTTTGGTGCCATTAAACCATTTCAGAGGAAGAGGGCACAATGAGATGACGTGATTAAAGACCAAGAGTCAAACCTTAAAATGTTAAAAACATACACAAATGTGGCCTTTAAAAATGCTTTTGTAATCTCTTCATTGAACTTTGAAGTTACATGCTTCATACATCATGATTTACTAATGCATGTTGTTGAATAAAGCTTTTAATATTTTAATTCTTATAAGCTTTTTAGACGCAAGACAAGTGTAAAAAACCTATACAAAAAAACACTAACACACTTATAGACTGAGATTTCTTGCTATTGATAAATTAGGTACATTTTGTATAGGACAACAACTTTGAAAGATACTTTATTAGACTAATTTCTCATTTGAGGCATTACATTTTCTTTCTTTTCTAAATTGTATTTTGCACAGAACAAGGGTTGTGGATTTCCTCATCACTCTTATGAAAGTGCTTTCAGACCCCTCCCCATTCACAATGAACAGAGGATAATTATAGCTAGCAACAGTAGAAAATGTACGCAAATATGGGCACGTGAGTGTGGTTTTAAGAAAGCTTTTGATGAAACAAAATGGTAAACTGTAAACTATAAATAAAACATGATATAAAAAAAGGAGCACTTGCATATTTATGTTTGTATAAGGTTTCTTGTTTCTCTTTTGGACCAGATCAAATTACCTTTTAGCTTCTGCTGTATTGCATAACGAGCCTTTCTCTCTTGGTCCAACTCGCTGCACAAAGTGTCTATCCAAGAATAAAATAATGGTCAAAAAAAGGTATAAAAAGAAAAAATAGAAGAAAATGCGAGCTGCTGCATTGCATCTGCAGTCGAGGAGTGTAATGTTCTCCGTTTGCCCTTATGGTATTTAGAGTGACCCCTCCGTGTACTTGAACCTTGTATTTAAACAACTGTAACATTAAACCAATCCTTTAACGGCTGGCATTAGTTGCTGTCTACTACATGTAACCGATACAGCACTACATAATGGTCTGTCTTTTCAATTTTCCAGAGCATGATTTAGGAGAAAATAACCTTTGCAAACAAAACAATGTGGTTTCAGTTTCACCTTCTGATATCTAATAATTTACTCAACTGCTGGAGAAAGAAAATATGGAGTTAAGAAAAAGGTTGGAGAGAAATGGCCAATATCTCAATATGCAAGTGTCACTTTTCCTTTCTTTTTTTAGTTCAGAAGCTAGTTGGTTCAGATTGATTTATATAGCCTTGGTTATTTTCCCCATAAACTTAAAGAGCATTGATCTACATCCGTTTTACAGTCATAATCTATTGAGGCACAAAGTATAGAGAGAGACAAACCTCGAACAATCTGCAGCTGCTGGACCATTTCCTCTCTGTAGGACAGCTCACGCTTCATTTGATCCTGAAAATTATCTGAAGAGTACCGAAGGCCACATCAGAATGAAATCTCTGACATTGTGATACATTTAAAGAAATATTCCTGGATACAAAAGGACACAATACAACTAGCTCTTTTCCTAACATCTATGCTGCAAGCACAGGGTTAAAGATCCAAACAAGAGGCAAAACAAACAAACATCTGTGTGGCTTCCACTCACTTTTTTCCTACCTTTTAAATGCTGGAATTCTCTCTCCAACTTTTTCCTCAACTCCACTTGTTCCACAAGCTGCTTCTGCAATTCCTCTGCAAAGCCAGAAGCCAAAAATGTGTCAATTTCAAGACCAACTTATTTTCATCTGCTGCAAGGAAATGTAATTATTCATCCTAAAACACTGGAACACACCCCGTCAGCACCTAAAGGACTTCTGAATAACAAGCAGGAAAATGGTGCATTAAGAAATCATGCCAAATAATGCAAATAAGCACCAATCACAACACCGATTTATGCAAAAATCCCCAAAAATAAAACAAAAAAAACGTTTTACTTCTCAATCCTCATGGTAAGATTTATGTCAGGCCAGTACACCGGCTTCAGGTGCGTTTACATCCCTGGTAACAACCATTTCACCGCTTTGCTCTCGCTCGCTGCCACAGTAATTGCCATGCATTGCCTGGAGCTTGAGACGATAATAATGGAGTCCCAGGGTTTTTCCAAGCGTTGTAAAATAATTAGCTGCCGTGCCTTGGGGTTATGGCTCTGTTCGTTAAAAATATTAATAGCCTCTAAACGATTTCCTCTTACAATAATAAGTCAAAACTCCCACATCTCGTGATTAAGTGGTTAACAACTATGGAAACACTTTAGGCCCACAAAATGTAAATTCACATTTGGATTTTGGCACGTCATCTTTAGCGAGCCGTGGGCATTTAGCTGCATTTAAATGAGCGATAATTCAATGTTTAATATTAATGTAAAATAGATATTTTACTTTTGATAATTAAACAACTATGGACGCAGGGTGAGTTAAATGTGGGTTTATAAATCCAGAAATGCACCTTAAATCGCAATTAACTGAAATATGCTTATTTAGGATCAAATGTAGAAAAATTTGCTGGCTTACCTAAAACTGTTTTTATTAGTTAATTGATCAAAACAGGAATAATTTGTGATGATAATTATCTTCACCTGCTACAAATGTCTTCTCTTTTTGATCCTGAAAACAGCCTCCTACCTTTAGCCATGTTCTCCAGATCTCTTTCATGCACGCTGATATCGATGCGTAAAGCGCCATCGGCTGCACAAAAACAATAAAACACATAAACTTAACCTACCAATAAGTGATCTGTGCAACACATATATTGTAAAAGCCTTCTGATGACATAGAAAGCAGCTAAAATAAGAACATGTTGATTAAGAATTAAATAAATTAAGAATAATAAACAGACTAATAACAAACCTTGTCTGTCCTTCTGCTCCTGATAGGGAGTTATGATGCGTTGGTGTTGTATTTCAGACACGTGGTGAGCACCTTAACATAAAGACGAATTTTAAATTAAAAGAGACGCAAAACAGACTTATTTGCATAAAAAACCAAAGCATCAATTGGTGCAATAATTACCGTTGGATCTGCGGGGGCTGCTCGAGTGTTTGGACGAAAACGACGAAGGCTCATTCAGAAGCACGTGGCCGTCCTTTTCATGAGCGTACACCTGTAAGAGGTGGACAATCGTGTTTAATAACGCAGACCAATTATATGTCATTTGCTGCAGTTCTTCACATAATTGAGGCCCTTTTTTTCTTCAAAAAACCAGTATCCCTGTAATTCGTTGTGAAGATGTTGAAGGTTCTGCATTTAAAAAAACTAATTTTGCGGTATAATATGTCTTATTATTGAACTGACACATTTTAAATAGGAATAACTCAAACAATAAATCGTGGATTATACTTTGAAGACCCCAATTAAGAAATGATGAATCCTCCAAATAGTGCAAATTGAGTTGAAAACCTCCAAAAGTGCAAATTAATAAATTACCTCTTTTTTTGGGTAAACTTTCTTTCACTGATTTGAGAGGCAAACATCAGCGTTTTGCCTTGTTCAGCGATACTTCAACAGGGTAGTTTTTGGTTTTCCAAACCATGTTAAGCTTTATTATTCTTATTATTAATGCCTATCAAATATAATGCTTTTTCAAATTCTAGGCAAATTGCTCCTGATCACATTTTTATCAGCTGCCTCTCTTCTCTAAAATATTTTCATATTATCCACAAGTGTGATTATTCAACTTCCCCCACGGGGATCATTAAAGTTTCATTTAATCTAATCTTACTTCATGAAGAGGAGAGCCATTACGCATCCGTCTGTCCTCATCTGATGAGCCAGAGTGCACGGAGTCTTCCGGTGATGCTGCTGCTGCTCCTGGGCTCGAAGCTTCCGGTTGCTCCGGGCTCTCCTCAGCAGCCGAGGGGACCCGGTCCGGGACAGGTGAGGGAACTTGGTCCGCGCCTGGCGAGATGTGGATCGGCTCCTCCTCATCTTGTCCCCGGTTGGACTCCACATCCACGTCCAGGTCGTCATCGTCGTCCACAACGCTGTCTCTGTCCGGTGAGACGGATCTGTAACTGGAGCTCTCGCTGATAAAATCCGGGGACAGGTAACCGGGGCGCGCACCGTAACTGTCCCGGTTGCCGTAGAGTTTGGCGATGGTCTCTGCGTCTTTCACAACAGGTCGAAAGGCCGAAATGTAGCTAATTTTCCTCTGCGGAGTCTCGTCCCCGGACTTGTCATCTTCGTTCCTAGTGGAGGAGGACTGTGAGCTGGAGCAGCGCTCCCCGCCGTCCTGCTGATGGTGCGGGTGGTGGTTGGTGTCTTTGGTTGTGTTGGCACCCCGGTCGTTTTGGACCGATAAGTCGAGCTCAGCCTGCCGGACACCTGGCAGTTCTGGAAGAGTTTTGGGTGGAGACCCCGAGTAGGGTGGCATGGCTAGGCCGCCAGCTGTAGGCCAAAACATGGGGAAAGCAGGGTAGAGGGCGTCCTTAGCGCCAGGCCAAAACACACCAGAGACACTAGTTTTGTTTGCATCTGGCAAACCGTCGCTCTTTTTCGGACACAGTCCATAGCTGGGGAAGCCATAGGGGTGGTGGGGGAATAGAGGTGGGGGGATTTTCTGAAGCATGCCAAAGCTCTTGCTGGGAACCGGGATGATTGGGTAGGTCCGTGCGCCGCTCGCCAAACTCAGGTTATTTCCCTGACTCTCTTCGCAGCGTAACGTTTTGTGAGGAATCTCAGGGGAGCTGGTTTGGGCCAGGCTGGACGAGGCCTGCGATTTTATTGACGAGTGCATCCCCGACCCACTCATGGGCAGAATCCTCTTTCTACTCCCCCCGTTGAACATGGCCTTTACATCCTCCCACGCGTGGTGAATATCGTCATTCTGTTTTTTGTCCGTCAGTTTCAGGTGGCGCCTCCACGAGTTGAAGTTGGCCGCGTCCGGCTGCAGGTACTTGGATTCTGGGGTGCGATGAGAGTGGAAAATGAATTTATTTGGGGAGAAATACATGTTGCAAAAGCTGCACTTGATGCACTTTGCTCTGGAGCTGTTGTATCTGGCCGGTATGAAGCTACCCCTGGAGCCCCAGGCACAGTCATGAATCACGTCAAATGCGAAATTTTCCGGTAGCTTTGGGGGACTGTGCGCCCCAAGGAAGGACTTGCAGAGCCTCTCTGCCTCCCGTTTGGTGATCATGCCGCAGCGCCGGGAGGAGATGGGCATGGCCCCCGCGCGCCGCAGGAGCTCCAGCTGCACGGGGGTGCACTGCACACACGTGATGCCCAACGCGACCCGGCGGTTGTGTATCTCGTTGTAGCTGTAGTTTTTCAGCAGGGTGTTGGAAATCTGCGCCAGGCAGAGCCTCTCTTTTCCGTCTATGACCAGACATACGATGGGCACCCCATACAGGGCGGTCTCGCTCACTTGGTTGGGTTTGAGGGAGCTGGAGAAGCTCGGGGCGTCATGCTTCGAAACTGGGGAAGAGCTGGCGTCCCGTCCCGCGTCTCGAAGCTGTCCGGGCATCGACTCCATTCCTGGAAGCCTGTCAATCAAACAGCAAACTGGAGTGAGGGGGGGGTGTTTGACATGTGGCAATTTTCTGTTGATTATTTTTAAATGATTTAGCTATAGACTAAATCATTGGGACTAAAACACACACACACACACACACACACACACACACACACACACACACACACACACACACACACACACACACACACACATACATTCCTCTTCTTCTTCTTATAGGATTCGGGTTTCAAAATGTAAAATAAATATCAACTTTTGACTAAATATAACGTTGATAATACAATAATCCTCATTATCAAAATAAAATCTCGTTAGAGTATTTATATCGTTAAATAGATGTAGTGGTAGTAGGCCTAAGACAATAATAACACAACAATAATTATTTACCCAAAAAAAAGTTATTTTTATTATTTAAAATTGTCAAATATGACTAACATCCGGGAGTTGCAGGAAGTAATATTGGAAAGTGAAATCAATCAGAGGTCTTGTTAATCATTTCTCGTATCGCTTCCTTCCTGGCTGTTTTCGGCCTCTTCTCTCAGGTTATCCGGGCTCGTGGATATGCTGCTGCTCTTATCTTGAAATCGGCTCAGTCACTTATGAGGAAACTACTTAAGGGTCACATAAGATCCTTATGGACGGATAAGAACAGAAGGATAATGCAGGGTGAGCTGCGCCAATGCGCTTACAGAGAGGAAAAGAACAACTGTAAGCTGCTTTCCTGGTAATTACACAGATCCACAAGCGCGTCTTCGCATTGTTAATAAAAGACCAGCCCTATATATAATTAAAGCTTCTGCGTAGATTAGCCTCTGCCAGTTGCTCCGAATGAGGTTGAAGAAGGAGGCCTATCTTACGTTCACCTGCGCATACTTACTTTTGGCATGTCGTCATCACGAAGGCCTCAACATGTAAACAGCCCGCAGCAGATCCAATATTTCTCTAAACAACTGACAGTCATACTACTAGTGATTGATTCGCGAAAAATGTGTAACATAAAATATTGAATAAGCTGCAAATGTGCATGCTATTTTGGACACAATTTAAAGAGCGACTGCACATTTTTCACAATTTGTCTTAATTCTGATAAAAATAAAAATAGTCTACATACCTTAATCTCCTAGACAACACACTCCAATAGGTTCCTTGATGAACAAAGTGATGATTAATATAAATAAAAGGATGGAAAAGCAGGTCCAGAGTCCAGAGGGAGCGATGCTGCAGAAAAGGCGGCCTGAGAGTAGAAACTCTGAGCTGGAGGCTTTATTTCGTTTATTTCAGAGCAGCAGACAGAACCTCCATCCTGTTGGATCCCGGGGAGGTGAATGGCGTGGAGACAGGAAGCACATGGCACCTCTCTCTCTCTCCCCACGCGCACACACACACACACACACTCACACACACACACACACACTCTCTCTCTCTCTCTCTCACGCCCTCTCTCTCTCTCTCTCTCTCTCTCTCACACACACACTAGCTCTCCTGTCATGCTGATGTGCCTTCAATCCAAAAAGTGTTATTAACCTGAGTGTAACAAAGACAAGTAATTACAAGATCACAAAGCAAAAGAAAAAATGCACAATTCATACAATCAGAAGAAAACAATGAACGTGTGCGTGCGTGCGTGTGTGTGTGCGTGTGTGTGTGTGTGTGTGTGTGTGTGTGTGTGTGTGTGTGTGTGTGTGTGTGTGTGTTGGGGGATTGCTCCAGTCTTCATATTCACACATGTGCAGCTCTAACGCACAAACATGATCAGAAACAGAAAAATATAGGCCACTGCTGACCCTAAAACATGGAAAACCTTATAGCCCTAAGAAACATTAATATATTTGGGATTATGAAATTAAGAAAAGAGCAACATCAGATATAAAGCCTGGGAAATAACTACAAAATAATAATACAATATTATTCAAAATTATATTTCGTGACTATAACCTGATTTATGTCAAGGACGCTCTTGTGGGGACCCCACATACACTGATAATGCACAGTGTGTTTTTAACATCGGTTCAGCTGTAATCATTCCACATGCCGTATTATTTCCACCGCAGCGGGGGCGAGCTGACAACAAGAGGCAGCGCGAGTGGCACTTTGGAGGGCAACAGGAATGACAAAAGGCCCCGCTCATTTATCAAGTTACACCGCCATCTGTTAGGCTTCCATCGGCCACGGAAATCAATCTGAGGTTTGCACGATAAAAGAGAAGTAAGAAAAGAAGAAACGAAGGACAAGGGAAATTAGTATGTTGTTCATGCAGCAACTATTTCACAGGCTTTTTGAGATGCACGTTTGTGATGAAAATGAAGAGAATCTGGGATGACATGATGATGCCTCAGGCCCTCAGGCGCTCTCTCTCTCTCTCTCTCTCTCTCTCTCTCTCTCTCTCTCCCGCCTACCTCCCTCGTTCGTCGTCGTCGGTCGTCGTCTACACACACACACACACACACACACACACACACACACACACACACACACACACACACACACACACACACACACACACACACACACACACACACACATTACTTGTGTCAGTGATGTAAGTGATGACAGTCAAACCTATTGGCTGCCCTTGAGGACCTTAATTTATTATTAATAAGCGGATCGATGGCTGATTGAGAAGTGTCGATACCTGCAGACTTACAGAGTTTGGGAAGGACGTATAATAAGTTGATGGAGGAAAAGGCTAAAACATTCAGAAATGTTTCATCATGTATAATTGGAAAAAGAGCCACGCCTTCAAATACAGTCCCTTTTCTGGGGGGGCTCAACAGAAGCTCCCTCCCAATGACGTGGTTGTATTTTGGCTGTTGCATTGAGAATGATAACAAATGTGAATGTGAAAGACTTCTTTATCAACCATCTTTTCTACTTAAAATATACCATAACATTAATTGTCTCCTATGTTTAAGGATGATATTGCCTATAGCTGTATCAGTGTGTTTGCCAGCACTGACAGGTTGGTTTTTCTACTTGAATGTCCAACTAAATGTATAGCAATTATTATTATTAAAGAGAAACATATTTTAATGGGTTTGAAGAGATTATCAACAAAGTTGCTTATATTGTGTTTTTATGGTGTTGGTTGGGTTGGAGTGTAAGAGTCCATTTTCACATGTTTATTGTTTTATTTTATTATATTAAGATGACTATACAGACAATATGAATTGTGAAATAACGTCTTCATGTTAGAGCTAAATAAAACAATAGGAGAAAACAACCATGTCCTGAGCTCTGAAGTGCACAGTATCTAAAAATTAGAAGATGAGGATTTTATTATTTCATATTTTGTTAAAAAAACTCATGACAAGATAATAAAAGGACAATTAATTTGAGCTATTAACATTCACTGTCTGGTAATGAGGGACACCTTATTTACTGCATGCTAGTTCGTTTTGAGCTCATCAAATATGACCTTGGACTTGGAAAGTCTTGGACTGGCCCTGCCTTAAATAATGATATAGAGTCATGGGTTTCTCATAATCTGTAGACAAACATATTATCATTTTGCTAATTGCTAATAGCCTATAAACTAAGCTACTGTAAATGCATTTTATGGGGATAGCCTATAAGGCAGCCAAGAGAAGAAGAAGAAATAAGTCCGTTTATCATGATTGAGTGACACAGCAGCAGATAACACTTCAGAGGCTGTGTGTGTGTTTTTTGGTGTGTGTGTGTGTGTGTGTGTGTGTGTGTGTGTGTGTGTGTGTGTGTGTGTGTGTGTGTGTGTGTGTGTGTGTGTATTATAAACTTTGTATGGAGCATCATGAGCCTGTGCAGTCTGAGCTCGCCAGTTTTACCTCCCTGCAATATTGATGCCGAACCTGATCCTAAGCGCATCCTCTCCTCTTTCCCCATCAAGAGGCTTCCCCTGCAGCCCCCACCAATAATTACAATTTTATACTGTAATTATTCCTCTCTTTTTAATTATTTAGACCGCCGACTTGAATGCAGCCATTGTCGCTGCTTATTCCGGGGAAACGTGAGCTGACGTGGCTGGATCAGCAGCGAGGAGTTTTTAATTAGACATTTCAGCGGTAATTTTAGGCGAGCTCTTTATTATTACTGTTGGATACAAATTACCCGGGCCTCATTGATATGCTCTCAATTGTTTAAACAAACCTTTAACCTGAAACATTAATGCGCTTCAGGTTGAGGTCATTAGGAGTCACAACTCACAAGGTGAACCCAGACTTGATGGATTATTTAACACGGCACTGCATGCGACGTGTTTTGTTGTGTGAAATAACGTTTTATTCGCAATGAATGCGACAAAATAAATTAAATGTATATTTCAGAGGTCACCAAGTTACATAAACACATATTTTTTGTATCCATAACATACTACTGATTTAACTTTATTTTATTATTTTTGTAGGCTGTGTTGAACTATATTGTGGTCTATATATTCCAAAAATAATTTGTTACGTTTTTTCCTTTTTATGTTGATTTATTGATTGCCTTCTTAGCAGATCTAGTTCAAACCTCTTATTTAACTGCTCACTTCCTGTATTGTTGTCAATTGCAATCTCATAGCCCATAAATGATAGGAAAAAAGTCTGTAGCCTACGTGTTTTTGTAAAATGGAGTGGTCCACTGCATGCAAAAATGTATCCTTGTTAAACAAAAACGTGAAATAAATCTGTAAAGCAGTCCACAGGATTTTGGATTTCTTTGATCTGAGTTAAACAGATTGCTGCTGAAGCTGATCATATTATATTTTTCTGCAGGACGTGTTTATTTCCCAAACAAATGCATTTTTTCATGATGTCAAAAGATAAATCAAGCCCGCCTCAATCAGGACAGGTTTAATAACAGCAGCAATTGGGGCCAAATGTTTTATAATTAACAGTTGTATCAGCACCCTATAAAACCATGACCCCTATAAATCCCATTTTAGAGACCAATCAATCCTCCTCTCGGACTAAAGGGCCTATTGATCCCTCGCTGCTAAACGCTTTCTCCGTAGCCTTTTTTGTTTCCAGTGAAAAGAGCATTTC